GCGGCGGATCGCGGCGCCGACGGCAGCAGGCCCTTGCTGCGCAGTCTCACCGAGCCTCTGCCACCGGCGCCCGTTCGCCGCCGACGGCGGGCGCAGGCGAAGCGGGAGGCCGCTGCGAGGGCTCGGGGGCAGAAGCGGAGACGCCTGGACGAGCCCGCCGAGCCCGGGCACCTGGCGAGGCGCCGCGTCGAGCACGTCACCGTCGCGAGGCACCGCGAGGCCTCCCGGGTCTTCGCGCGGGCCTTTCCTCGAGCGGCCGCGCCAGATTGCCCCGTCGAGGAGTTCGACCAGCTGCTCGAGCGCCACCTCGCAGATCAGTTCTTCATGGGCGGTGCTCGAGCCCGCGAAGCTTGCAACGCCCTGCGCGGCAGTGCTTGGACGCGCCGAGCGCCGGCGTCTCGGCTGCCAGCAGCTCTCAGCGCCCTCGACGGCGTCGAGAGAAGATCCGGGATGCGCTCGAGATCCGTGCCCCTGGGAGGCCGCCCTCGCGGTTGCTGTCGCCCTGATGTCCATGGAGCCGCCTGGGCCGCTGGAAGCGGCGGCGGTCCTCTTCTCCTTCGACGCGCGCGCAAGGATCGGGCGCACGCGCGCGCCGAAGGCACGCGTTGCCGCGCGACCAGCGCGAGGGGCGGCGGACCCCAGGCCCAAGTGGGCACTCGCCCTCTTCCCCGAGCCCGACGGAGAGATGAGCAAGATTCGGGCTCAAGACGATGCTTTTGTGATTGGCGAGTCTCGCGTCGAAAGGACGCGGTTAAACGCTATCGCGCCGCCGTTGCTCTTAGGATTGGCGCCAGCAGACAAAGCCGCCCCTTCGGCCCAGGCCTGCTTCGGATGTGGTTCGAGGCAGCGGTGATGCAGTTGGGCTCAGCAGATCATATGTTTGCGCCGCGCGCGCTCCGACGCGGGGGCCCAGGCGTGCATTCGCTTGCAGGGTTCCCTCTTCAGGACATTCAGCGCTGTGGCCAATGGGCCGCGATCAAAAGCGTGTTGCGGTATAGCAAGCGTGGTCGGTATCTTCGAGGTCTCCATGGATTGCCATGGGCAGTGCGAAACGCTTCAGTTTCCAACTTGAGCAAACTGAAGCAAGAGCTCCCTGCGAATATTCGTTTTGCACGGCGCTCTTGAGCCCGCCCACCCATCCCTCAGCGTCAAGAGCCGCTGCCCGGTCCACCGCCAGCTGCCCATCGCACTAAGGTTTCTTGCTGTTGTCGGTAGTTCTGCCAGTCAACCGGGATCGCTATTTGCTATGTCCAGTTGTCCCGTTGTTGCTGTGCTATGTGATGATAAAGAAGCACTGCGATGATTCGCATTGGAAGGCGATGGGAAGTTATGACATCCACGCCATAATACGTTTTGCGATGCGATGCGGCGCGATGGTGAGCGATGATACGCCAGGGCATTGTACGTGATTATGTTATGCCCTATAAAGTAATGCTTTGCGATTGCTGGCCATTGCTTGCTACGTATTGGTATACTGTAGTAGATTATGTTATGATGTGTAGCGGTGTAGCGGCGTTGTATGATATGATATTCCATGCTAGAACGCTGTTATCCGACGCGCTGCTAAGCGATGCGATGCACTGAATTGTGGCCAGTTGAATCATCCAACAACCTCCTTATCACCCGATGCGTGGTCGTGTAGATAGGGCGCTCTACGACCCAAAGCACTTTTATCTTCCGTGACACGAGGTATTATAGATTAAATGTGCGCGACTGGTTTTAACGTTTGGCTCACAGAGAGTGGCTCAACGCACCTTGGGGAAGCAGCGTCAAGGGGATCTACTGCACGGGATGGCGTTGCCTGCGCCACCGCTTCGCTTTGGGCCCCAGCCACTGGCGGGGAAGCAGGCCAAACCTAGGTGATTTCAAGGGGGGGAGAAGCCGACTGCCACGCGGGCGACGCAGAGGAATGCCGCGGCACATGAGACATCTTTTTCGACCTCGACAAGCCGCAGGGGGTGCACATTTAATACTGTTGGGCGGCCCTCGCCGCGAACGCTGCATCCATCGAGGAGGTCGTCGAAGGCCCGTGCGCGGACGGCGCAAACTCCAAGCGTGATTTTCGCGCCGCTGCCACGGAAAGTTGCCCAGGGGCCGGAGGGGTTCGCAGACTGCGCCGCGAAAGCGCCCGCTGCCGGATGACGCGCGGCAGTTGTTTGATGGGGTTTTGTCCGAGGCGGGGCATCTGGAACGCGTGGCAGAAGTGCCCTGAGTTCGACGGGGCGCGTGCCCTCTACGAGGGCCGATCGCGGTTGGCGAGAGGCGCGAGCTGCGGCACGTGGGGCCTCGGTTGCAGGATATGCGCTCAGTTCGTCGCTTCTGGCAATCGATGTGACGGCGCCAGGTTTCCAAAGTTTGCCAAGTTCCAGATTCGCCCGAAGACGGGCCTTCGCGCCAGGGTGCTTTTGGAGCGGCACAGCAGTTCTCAGTCGCATCGCGTGGCCTGTGGGGTAAGAAGGAGGGCCGACGCGTTTTTCCAGCCGACTGTGCCGCAGCCTCCGGCGTGTTCCACCGTTTGGCCAAGTGAGAAGTCATGCGAGCCTCTGGCGACCGAGCCTGATTCTGGGTTGATCCAGGGAACCGCGCCGCCCCCATCGGAGTGGAAAGTTACGTGGGCGGTGCGATCAGAAGGAGTCTCGCTCCGAAAGGCTGCCTGCATCCGCGATGAGGTAAGCCGCGCGCCTGATCCGGCGGCGAAGCAAGTGAGCAGATTTTGAAAACGCCAGCGCCGACGATTCCCAATGATGGCGAAAGTCTCGAGGAAAAACATTTGCAAGGCGCTGCCCCAGGCGACCGAGGCTCCCAAAACCGCTCCAAGACGGCTCAAGAAGAGGCCACCAAGAGGGCCCCAAGACGGCCCAAGAGAGCCCCGAGACGGCCCCAGAGCCGCCCGAGACGGCGCAAGAGGGCCCCAAGAAGGACCGATGAGGGAGGGAACGCGAAATGAAAAATCAAGCTCTCCGCCCCGAAATGCCCGCAAGAGGCCCCAAGAGGCCCCCAGGAAACCCCCAAGAGGCCCCGCGAGGCCCCCAAGAGGTCGCACGATGCGTTTTTAATTACCCCGGAGGCCCCCAAGAGGCCTTTAAGATGCCGCCCAAGTGCGCCCGGAGAGGGCGACATCGTGAATTTTCATTGTTTTTCTTATGTTTCTTTGTTTTCTTTTTGCATTATCGCTGCTCCGTGTTTCCGGCGCTAAAGCACCGCCCAAGAGGCTCCCAAAACCGCTCCCAGACGGCCCAAGAGGCCCCAAGAAGCCCCAAAGAGGGCCCCAAGACGGCCCAAGAGAGTCCCGAGATGGCCCCAGAGCCGCCCAAGACGGCGCAAGAGAGTCCCAAGAAGGCCCCAAGAGGGGCCCAAGAGAGGGAACGCGAAGTGAAAAATCAAGCTCTCCGCCCCAAGATGCCCCCAAGAGGTTCCGAGAGGCCCCTGGGTAGCCCCCGAGAGGCCCCCAAGAGGCTCTAAGAAGCCCCCAAGAGGGCCCCAAGACGGTCCAAGAGAGCCCCGAGACGGCACCAGAGCCGCCCAAGACTGCGCAAGAGGGCCCCAACAAGGCCCAATGAGGGACCCAAGAGAGGGAACGCGAACTGAAAAATCAAGCTCTCCGCCCCAAGATGCCCTCAAGAGGCCCCAAGAGGCCCCCAGGAAGCCCCCAGGAGGCCCCCAAGAGGCCCCAAGAAACCCCCAAGAAGCCCCCAAGAGGCTCCAAGAGGCCCTAAGACGGCACCCAAAAGGCTTCAAAATTATGTTTAAGAGGCCCCCGAAGACATGCCAAGAAGGTCCCATGACGACTTCAAGAAGCAGTCCAGGATGCTCCGAGGAGGTCCCAAGAGGCTCCCAAGAGAGCCCAAGAGGCCCCCAAGAGGCCTCAAGCAGCATCCAGAAGGCTGGAGAGAGGCTCCCAAGAGCTCAGCGGTCCAGGCGGGGGCCGAAGGAACATTTCCAGCCCTGGGCTCCCGGAGCCCCAACAGGAAGCCATAAGAGTTCGACCATCCAGCCTAGCTAGAACTTGAGCGCGAGCGACGCGCGCGATGGTTCTAGGATGTATATATATATGAAGAAATGCATACAGTTATGTATGTGTGTACGTACGTATGTATGTACATGCATATGTATATGTACATGTATATGTATAAGTATATGTATATGTATCTGTATTTGTATATGTATATGTATATGTATATGTGTATATATACGTATATATACATCTATACATATATATATATATGTATATACATACATGTACCCATCCATCCACATATCTTTTTACATACATGCAAATATATACAACTTTGTATATGCATTAATAAATGTGCATCAATACTATGCTTGGTTCATGCGGCGATGGCGCGCTGGCGACGACGGCGACGGCGTTCCAGGTTGATTTCTGCGATGTGGAAGCACCGACGGACGGCAACGCGACTGGGCCCGACCGAGTTCAACCTGGAACGATCGGGGCCGCGACTTATTCAATGTTGAGCGATCGACGCCGCGTCAATAACCTGGGCGCGCGCCGACGCCGCGCGAACCTACCATACCCGGACATCCTACGGAGCGATTATTTTGCAATCCGTCAGTTTTTCGTACATTTCGGTTTATGGGGCATGTTTTCGGACCACTGGATTGTCAATCGAGGAAAGAAAAATCGGGGACCATGACCAAGATGTCGCAGGATTTAGTCGATGCGATTTTGGTCATTGTCCATGTCAGCCGCTGCCGGTTCGTGAGGATGGTCCACGAAAAGGTGTTGACCAAGATGGACGGTGGCCAAGATCGGCACGAAGTTTCCGCGCCCAGTCTTGGTTATGGTCCCCGCTTTCTTCCCCTCCAATCAAAATGGGATCCAGGGCGAACGTTCATCGTCGGATGTCTCTGCACACATGGAGGGCGTCTGGAATCGGCCTCGCTTTCGGGGCGTCCCGTCCTCGGCGGAAGGCCGGCGGAAGCGAAACGTCGGCGGAGGTGGCAGCTTGGCTGGATGCGGGGGCCAGAGATCTTCGGAGGCGCGCGCGGATGTCTTGGGTCGGTGCTGGCACGCCTCGTCCACGCCTCGAATTCCAGTTTCTGAACAATCGTGTGCTACGACATCTGCGTTTCGGCGCTCCGGCGCCCCCGCCGAGCTCTTAGATGGCCGCCCCCCCCCCCCCCCGGAGCGAACATCGGCGCTTTGCCTTGTCCCAGCACCTGGAGCGCGCCGCGGGCGTTGCCGCGGGCGTTGCCGCGGGCGCCGTCAGGGGTGCGGGAATGGGAGTTTTTCGCCGACCTAAGAGATTCGACTAGACCGCCAACAGTTTGTGTGTGTTGTGCAGTTTTCGGGTCCTCTGCCATCGGTCGCACTCCCTCGCTCTCCGCGGCAGAGCGGGGCGCCTTCGATACGGCATGCAAGGAGGCGGGGTTCCGGCAGCGGATCGTCGGGGAGCTCCGGAGAATGTTTGGTGCCATGGGGGCGCCAGGGGCCCTGCTGGTCGCCGATCTTGTTTGGGCCAATGCCAGGTCCAGGATCGGTGCGTACGCTCTCCTGGCATTACGAAGCGGAGTATGTCCGCCAGTCCCGGGCCCGGGGTTGGCCTGGCTTGGGTTGGTGCAGTCGGGCAGTTGGCGTTTTCTCAGGTGTGGACACGGAGTTCCAGCTAATGTTCAGCATTGGCGGCCAGATAGGTATTGACGTCTGCCCCGTCGGCTGGGACAAGACGTTCTGCTTGCAGTTCGTCTCGCCCGAGGAGTTCTCCGTCGTGCACTTCTTCGGGGACAAGACGGAAGAGGCCTCGCCCTCCCTCCTTCCCTCCCTCCCGCCTTCCCTGCTGCCCGCTCTCTCCTCCCCCTTCCCTCCACCGCCTTCCTGTCCTCACATCTTCTCCTCCTCCCTTTCTCCCCTTCCCACCTCCCTGGTCCCTAGTCCATGGACCGCGGCGCTGGATTCATCCTCAGCCGCTCGAGGCGAAAAGTTCTGATGCCCCAGCTCCTTACTTTGCTTCGGGGCATCAGAACTGATGTGGCTGCTGATGTTCCCTTCCTTCCCGCCTCCCTTTCCGCCGCAGCCAGACTTTACGCAGCAGCGCTTTCGGTCCCAGCCCCGGCTGCGGCGTCGCAAGGGGCAGGCGGATGACGACGACAACGACAACGACGACGACGACGACGACGACCACGAGGAAGTCGAGGGCGAGGATGAGGACGGCGGCGACGACGTTGTTTTTTGTTGTGTTTCGACCCTTCCAGAACGGTCGCCGGGCCCTGGAACCGTCAGAAACGGTGCTCCTCCTCCTCCCTCTCCTCCAACGTCATCCTGCCAGTCCCCGTCGCATTCGCCCTCGCGGGCCTCGTCGTCGTCCTCCCCTGGCTTCTCCTGCTGTTCGTCCTTCTCCTCGTCGTCGCCATCCTCCTCTTCCTATTTGCACATCGTTTTGGGTTTCACTGGTCTTCCTGTTCCGCCTCCTCCTCCTTCTCCTTCGTCTCCCTCATTCCTCCAGTCTCCTTCCTCCTCTTTCCGCCTCCTCATTCTCCTTGACTCCCTCTTCCCTCCTCTCTCGTCCCTGGACATGCCGTGTCGTCCTCCCTTCTCATCCTCCTCTTTTCTGTTTTGGTCCTCCTCCGACCCTCCTCTCCTCTGGTCCCCCTCCTCCCTCCTCCCTTTTCGCTTCTCCCTCCCACTCGTCACGTGTACCCGCATCTGTTTCGCTTTCTTCATCCTATTATTCTTCTTTTGTCCGTCTTCTTCGTCTTTGTCTTTTTATTTTTCTTCTTCTCCGCCTCTTCTTCCTCCTCCTCCTCATCATCCTCCCTCCTCTTTCTTTTCCTCACATCCTCACATCCTCTCTCCTCCTCCTCCTCCTCCTCCTCCTCCTCCTCCCTCCTCCTCCTCCTCCTCCTCCTCCTCCTCCTCCTCCTTCCTCCTCCTCCTCCTCCTCCTCCTCCTCCTCCTCCTCCTCCTCCTCCTCCTCTCCTCCTCCTTCTTCCTCCTCCTCCTCCTCCTCCTCCTCCTCCTCCTCCTCCTCCTCCTCCTCCTCCCCCCTTCTTCTTTTCTCCGAATCTTCCCTCCCACAATCACACAGTATGAGTACTACTCTCCTCACTCCCTTGATTCTGTGCAGAAGATTTCTCGGCCTTCTCCACGTACTGCGTTTTATACGCAGGATTTCAAGCACCGTTTGTTCGAATGCTTCCTCTTGCAATTCGGTCGTTTTCGGTGTTTCAAAATGGCGCTCCCGCTGCAGCGTGGGCCTCATTTTCAGATCGGCGCTGTAGTCTCGTCGTTCAGAATGGCGCTCTCGCCCCAGCGCGGGCCACTTTTCTGGATTCGAGTCCCTTTTTATCGTTGTCGCGCCTCCGCTTCCCCTCCTCCCGCCTTTCCCTTGTCCCCCTGCTCCTCCCGCTCTAGTCCCTGCTGCTGCTGTTCGCCCTCGTCCTCCTCCTTACACATCCTCCTCCTTTTCACCCTGCTCATCCTCCTTCTCACCCAGCACCTTCTCCTCCTCCTCCTCGTCCTTCCCCCCTATGTAAGCAGTTTCTATTGTTTTTGATTGCGCATGACACGATGAAGTTGCAGGTCGGTTCCGGCACTCGTCCACGGATAGAAACAACATCAACGCAACGGGAAAAGCGCCGGGAGGGGGGGAGAGGATGTCAGATTTGGCGCTCGCACTTGGTTTGTCCCTTCTCCTCTCCCGCCTGTGCCTCCGCCTCCGCCTCCGCCTCCGCCTCCTTCTCCAGGACTGCAGTAATCCTCCTCATCCTCCCCCTTTTCCTCTTCCTCCTCCCCCCTCCTTCCCCCCCTCCCTCCCCTCCCTCCCCTCCCTCCCCTCCCTCCATTTCTTCCTCTTTTCCTCTCCTCCCTCCCCTCCCTCCCTCTTTTCCTCTTCCTCCTCCTCCTTCCCTCCCCCCCCCTCCCCGGCCTCTCCTGCCCTCCCCTCCCCTGCCCTCCCTCCCTTTCTGCCTCCTTCCCTCCCCTCCTCCCTCCTTTGCGCTCCCTCCTCCATCACCAATCCTCGGTCCTCGCTCTCGTCCTCCCTCCTCCTGCCTCCAGAGAGGGTGGCGGCGACCACGAGATTTACATGCACCCACGCACCGTCGGGCACAGCGTCACCTCGCCTGAGGACACCATGCGACAGGTCGAGGAACTGCTCAGGTCCAGCGGCGAGGAGGGGCCGGAGGAGGGGGAGGGAGGGAGAGTCGGGGCCTAAGAGACGGGGGTCAGTGCAGACGGGGGTCAGCCAGAGCGCCGGATCCTGCAGGATCCTGCAAAGGCCCCCTCTGGCTGACCCGGGTCAGGGAGCCGCTCGTGGCCGCGAGGCGGCCGCACATATTGGCTGACCCGGGTTTGCGAAGAGCTGCGTTGCAGCTTTTCTTTCCTGCATTGCAGTTTTTGGTTTCCCGCTGACCCGGGTCTGGATTGACCCGGGTCAGAAGATCCCCGAGAGAGAGAGAGGAGGGAGGAGGGAGGAGGCGGAGGAGGGAGGATGAGAAGGATGAGGGGGATGAGGTGGAGGGGCCTCGGGACCAGGCTGGGAATCGACGGGCAGGGTGGGCCAAAAGCCTAGGTCAATCAAACGGATCGAGTCCAGGCCCTGGTGATCGTGCAATTCTTCACTGACCATCCTTGTGGCCATCTTAGCCGCAAGATTCACCGCCTGCGACGCGATAGCGAGACATCCGTCCATAAGAAACACATCTCTGTCTGACGAAGCACCATGACTGGCTCGTCGCTTGGCGAACTTGTCCGCCTAATTACCAGCTCAAACTGCGAGACAAATATTTCTTCAACCTGCACCATAGAGCAATGACTTTCCACATGCTTGAATACTCGCTGCGGCAAATCCTCTCTGGCATGCACACTGAGCCACAGGTGAGCCCGTGGGTTGGCCACTTAGGTGGCGCTCCTCTGACAGGTACGGTAGCCTAGAATAATTTTGCACACATGACAAGACATTGTCCGTGCCAGTTACATGCTGTGAGACCATGAGGATCGCATAATCTTCCCCGTCCCTCGCCGTGTGCTTGGTCGCACATTCAGGTGGCACAACCCCGTAGCCCGTACCTTGCAACGCACGGTCTGCGGAGTAAAACGCGGGCCTAGCCAGTCGCGCGCAGAGTATGAAATCCAGAATTGGGCTCCGATCCGTCTGTGAACACGTAATTATCCACGTATCCACTTTCGAGCAGCGCAGGAAGATCTATGCCTGTGCCTTTTAGCGCCCAGCACGGGTCAAACGTTTGCCGAGAAACGCAAAGATCTGATTCAGTGAAGATGCCACGGGCGAAGCGCTCGCCCCAAGCGGGCGGGGCTTGTGCAACGTCCTTAGGCGCGGCCACTAACTCAAGAGATATATTGTCTCGCCTCCAGGCTTAACGACCTGGGCACCTGCAACACCTGTGATGGGGAGATCTTCTCTCCTCCGGGCACAGCCGACACAGCACGGGAGCAGACGCATCTTGGTCGTGCACCCGCCCTTGCGACCAGTGCGTGCCAGCCACTGCACCTCGAAGCGCGGACTGCCGGTGCTGCGCTCCGCCAGACCCCCAATCCGGCCCCCCAATCCGGCTCCGCTCCTCCTCCCCGGGGACCAGCCCTTCGCATCCTGGGCGGGCCCCTGGGTCCCCTCCTCCTCCTCCTTCCTCCTCCTCTCCTTCTCCTCCTCCTCCTCCCCCCTCCTCCCCCTCCCCCTGCACAGATGCTCCCGGCCCCCCGCCCCGCGGAGCGGAGCCCCGCGCTGCCCGCCTGCAGGGCAGGGCGCAGCGTGCCGCCGGCGCCGCCGCTGCGGCCCTCTGGTCACTCGCGGGCCTCGAGGTGGACGCCAACACCTCCACCTCCTCCTCCCTCCTCCTCCTCCTCCTCCTCCCTCCTCCTCCTCCTCCTCCTCCTCCTCCTCCTCCTCCTCCTCTCCCCCTCCTCCTCCTCCTCCTCCTCCTCCTCCTCCTCCTCCTCCTCCTCCTCCTCCTCCTCCTCCTCCTCCTCCTCCCCGGCCCTCCGCTGTCGGCGGCGTGCCTCCACCGAGGGAGGAAGATCCCGATCTCGATGGTGGTGGTGATGCCCTGACTTCCAGGACGGGCCGCCACAAAAAAGGGGGTGGGCCCACCAATGGCCCCGTCTTGCTAGCGAAGCGCGCACGTCGGAGGCCCCGGCCCCGGCGCGCGGCGTGCTCGACCTGGCCAACGACACGGATGAGGAGGGAGAAGAGGAGGATGAGAGGAGGAGGAGGAGGAGGAGGAGGAGGAGGAAGAGGAGGAGGAGAGGGAGGAGGAGGAGGAGGAGGAGGAGGAGGAGGAGGAGGAGGAGGAGAATCCCACTCCGCCCTCCAGTCGTCAACCGGGCGCGTGGGGCCCAGGACTTCCATCCCACTCGCTGGCACGCGATGTGAAGCGCTGCCACCGGGTCTCGGCGCGAGACCCATGGGCGCCGCTTGGCCGCCTGCTTCGCTCCGTCGTCGAAGAGGGCCTGGAGAACGGGCGCCGTCAGGAGGCCATCCCATAGGATCTCCCCATCTTGCCCTGCGCTGTCGCGAATCTTGATCACGAAGCGATCCCGCCCCCAGCCGCGCCTGCCACAAGCTCGCAAAAAGCCTGTGGAGGCACCCCGTGGGAGCCTGCAGTCACACGGAGTTGGTGCTGACGGGTGTCCGCGACACCGTGCACGCAGAAACCCCAGAGCGACACAGCGGAAGGCCCAGCACGATGGGCCTGACAAATCTTGGTGCCTCCACGCTGCAGGGTGTGTAGACGCAGGGCACGCCTCTGCCCTGCCAGGAACCTAACGACATGAGTCGGAACCCGCCTGAACCTCCCGTCCGTCGCGTCCCCGCCCAAGTCCCGACGTGAGTGTGGGCGATCCTTCAGCTCCAGCGCCCATCCTTCACAGAGGCTGGTCGCGGGCCCGTTGGAACTGGCAAGGAATCCGGCCTTGCCCCGTGAGATCGGGATATCCATAGCCGCGACTCCGTTTGCGACGGTGTTAAACGCCAAGGGGAGCTGTCGGGCGACTGTGCCCCTGCCTCGCGTAGCGTGGAACGAGATGTCGTCGATCGCATTCTTGACAAGCCGCAGCGGGTGCTGCGAGGTCGGCGCGCTTCAGAAGCACCGGCAGCGTCAGTCTGGACAGAGGTGTGGCGCGCGAGCATCCAGCGATCCCCGCCCTGTGAGCCTCGAGAGGCCGACTCGCGCAGCGCCCCGTAGGGCCGCGCGGTGGGGGGCCGGATGCACATAATACAGCGCGCGAGGCAAGACGTAGAGAAAACTCGCGCGGGCCGCAGCGGCCCTGAGTTCATCATGAGATATGTTCTCGCAGTACTTCTCTAGATTGGGAAAGGCCGAGCCAGACTCTGGACGTACAGGCCGAGCGAAGTGGGGCATGGCGCCGTGCAGCCGTGCCGCCCTGTCGCAAGACGTGGCCCTGCCCTGGCCCCCAAAGCAGCAGCGAGCTGAGAGCCTTCGCCCATCTGGAGCGCTCCCGAAAGCGAATCGTTGACCACACTCGAGCTGCCAATGGAAGGAGGCCGATCGGGCGCACTCCCCCAGTCGGTTTGTCAAGAAAGTCTATCAGGACTAGCCGCAGATCGTACACCTTAACACCTTAGGAACCTGCTTCCAAGAATTTAGCATGTCAGCTAATCGCTGCGCGAAATCTCTCGGCGGCTTCTTGATGACTCTCCATTCCGCCGCCCGGGCGGCGAGGGCCGGGGTCGCCAGGTCCGAGAACGCCGCGCACAGCGGTCTCCGGATCCCAGCCCGTGCTCGCCAGCTCCACCGGCTGAGCCGCGACGCTGGGAACCAGTCCCGGGCGGGGCACGTCCAGCAGTACAGTCAGCCCGCATCGTATGGATGGACAACCTTGCCAAGGGTACCCTTGCATCCTTGCCTCTTCGGTCCATCCTTCGCCACTTTCGTCGGCCGCGCCCCGCTCGAATAGCTTCGAGGTGGCGTCCAAGGCCCCTGCATCCTTATCGCGCACCCCTGTTGTACGGGCTGGCTGTGCACCGACCAGGCTTTTCTGTTCTCGCTCCGGGCCGCCACCGCTTGAGCTGACAGCGGCCGAGCGGCAAGGTGCGTGCGGCGCCCTCTCGCCTCGACCCTGCGAATCGCCCCGCCGCTCGGGAGCGGAGCGGGCGGCGAGCGCGGGCCGCTGGTATTCTTGTCGCTGCTCCCCGGCCTTCCTCGGAAACTGGAACATGTACATTGCCAGCGGCGTGCTGTTTTTCAATCCCTGGACTTTTTGAGGGTCAGGGGCGACGTCGGGGTGGTGTGGTGTATAGCTGTTTCCCCGTCTCCCAGGGGAAATGTCAAAAGTGTATACACCAGCGTGTCCCGTATACACCAGGATCCGCTTCCGTGTGCGAGTTGCAGCGCAGGGTCGGAAACGCGTCGGTGTATAGAGTTCGTTTCCCTACTTCTGCTGCAAGGCACACTAGGAAACAACTCGACAAATGGCAGCTCGATGTTTTGCCTGGCCACCGCCTGGCGAGGTGGCTCAATACTCTTGCCCTCGCCTCCCCCTCCTCCCCCGCAGGGTCCAGACGTGTCAAATCTGTACTGCTTGGTATGATTGGATCACTGCCCGCCGCTTCGGCAGGGCAGGGGGTTGTCTCTTCAACTGCCCGCGCGGGGAGGACAGTATACAGCATTACGCTTTTCGTGCTCAATCTCGTACCCTGTGCCGCCAATGTGTCGGACTCAGCCGGCCGCCAGCAGAGGAGTGCCTCAGCGACTTTTCGGGCATTCCCCACGAGCGCTCTCTCCCCACGCACTGCTGGGGCGGCAGCGCCAAGGGCCACGTCGGCTGCGCTCCGGGCGATCGGGGCATTCGCCCTGTATCAAACGCACGATGCTGTCCGACACGGCCTCCAGGCCGCCGACATGGCCGACGCTTTCCGCGGCTACGTCCGTGATTCGCACAGCATCTCGTCAGGATTGTTTTCAGGAGGCCCCGTCAGGAAGGCCAGCTGCATGCTCCTCGTATCATTCGCGTGCTATTTGTTTTCTCCCTCCTCCTCTTCTGCTCGGTCGTAATTCGGCGCGCCGCTCGCTACACTCAGCTAGCTGTGTTTCTTCTCCCGGGCAGCCTCGCCCGCTTCGCCATGATACAGTTCTGGTGTACTTTGTATCACTGCAGTCCGCCCCCGCTTCTTTCGTCTTGTCCTTCCTCTTCCCCTCTCTGTTCTCCTGTCCGGGCCTGGGGCGACCGTGCCGGACTGGCTGATATCGATTCATGCGCCATGGATGCGCCGTCGGCGCAATGACATATGGCACCATGGGGCGGTGTTTCATGTGCTGCTCTGGCTGGGCCACGTTCCTGGCTGATCCCCTCCAGGCCGATACGTTTTAGGTGGGAATGCGTATCGATGGGAATCTGGGCTCATTCGTCGGGCCTGATATGTCACGTGCTTGCGCACGGAGCTCGGACTCAGAGGTTTAACTCGGCACTCCTGCCAGTTACCTCAGTGCTCGGATGCGCGCAACGGCTCGCCTATTGCAGGTTGGCTTGTGCGCTACTCCAAGTGTTCTGGTTTCTCCACAGGACTCCTCCCCCTCTCCTGCGGCTCCGCTGGTCTGCGGCCATTCGCGGCCTCTCAGCGCCACCCACTCGCAATTAATGAGTCCTCTGGCATGCGGTCGGCGCAGTGGGGAAAATTCGCTACTTTTCCCGGCGGTTCACAATCAGCAACTTTTAGTGTTGTACCTTCCCCCAGGCGCGGACGGGAGGGAAACGTAACCGTACCTTGTTGGTCGGAGTTCGCTGCTCACCCTGGCTGTCATTGCTGAGAAAAAAGAAATCAATCCCATCTGGGGGCCGTGCCTTTATCGAACTTACCAGTTGAACCGAGCACATCATCCGCCGTGGTATGTGGGAGCGAGTCCGATGCTGGCCAGTCTCTGGGGTGCGTGTCACCTGCACGCGAGGCTTGGACCAAATGGACGCCCAGTCCTCTAGCAACGCTTCAATAGGCTCCTGGCCCGCCAAGGGCAGAGAACCTTCCTCAACACAGCCAAAAAGGGGCGCAGGATTGGGGTGATCTCCCTTGGGAAAGCGGTGGGCAACCTTGTGTCCTCGAGAAGTTGTCTCTGGCGCAACATGCTTCCGAACCTCCTTGCTAGCCGCTGCATCTGCAGCGGTCCTCCTGTCACGCTCTCTCACTATATCCGAGTTCGTGGACGCCCTGGTGGTATCATCATGGAGCGCGCTGATTACAGCAAGGACAGAACTCTCCGCAGTGCGGAGGCAGTTGCCCATGTAATGTTAGAAGTCGGGACGAGGAGGCGGAGGAGGAGGAAAAGGAGGAGTATGAAGAGGAGGAGGAGGAGGAGGAGGAGGAGGAGGAGGAGGAGGAGGAGGAGGAGGAGGAGGAGCAGGAGAGGAGAGAAGGAGGAGGAGAGGACAGGAGGAGGAGGAGGAGGAAAGGAGGAGGGAAAAGGAGGAGGAGGAGGAGAAGGAGGGAGGAGAAAGGCGGAGGGAGAGGAGGAGGAAGGAGGAGGAGGGAAGGAGGAGAGAGGGAGGAGGAGGGAGGAGGAAGGGAGGAGGAGGAGCAGCAGGAGGAGGAGGAGGAGGAGGTAAGGAGAAGTAGGAGGAGGAGGAAGAGGAGGAGGAGGAGGTGGAGGAGGAGGAGGTGGAGGAGGAGGAGGAGGCGGAGGAGCAGCAGGAGGAGCAGCAGGAGGAGGAGGAGGAGGAGGCGGATGAGCAGCAGGAGGAGCAGCAGGAGGAGGAGGAGGAGGATGAGGAGGAGGTAAGGAGAAGTAGGAGGAGGAGGAGGAGGAGCATAGGCGGTTGGAGATCCCGTGAGGTCCACCGACGAGCCGCAGGGGAGCTGGTGCGCAGTCCTGTAGCGTCTTGAGTCTTTGGCGATCTAGCCGGGCTCGCCGCCTTTGCCGTCGCCCTCTGTCTCTTTCTGCGTCCTCTCCTCACCCCCTGCTGCTGCTGATCCCTCCTCCCTCCGCCCTTCCTCCTGCTCCTTCTGCTTCTCCCTTCTCACTCCTGCCTCCTCCCTCTCGCCTCTCTCTCTGCTCGCTGTTCCCTGCTCCCTCCTCGCTACCTCTTCCGCCTCCTTAATCCTCCGCTCCTGCCCGACCCCTGCTGCATGTCGCCTGAGGCCGCCGCCGCTTTTCCGCGTCCCGGGCGTCCAGCCCTCCTGGCGGTCCATCGTGTATTTTCCAAAGAGCGCGTCCCAATATACCCTTTCCCCTCCTCCTCGTCCTCCTCCTCGTCCTCCTCCTCGTCCTCCTCCTCGTCCTCCTCCTCGTCCTCCTCCTCCTCCTCCTCCTCGTCCTCCTCCTCGTCCTCCTCCTCGTCCTCCTCCTCGTCCTCCTCCTCCTCCTCCTCCTCCTCCTCCTCCTCTCCCCTCCCCTCCCCCCACTTCCCACCCCTCCCCTTCCCAGCCCTCCCATCCCCTCCCCTTTCCTGCTCCTCCTCCTCCTCCTCGTCCTTTTCTTTGTCCCCACAGGTCTTGCCTGGAGGCGAGCGCTCAAGAGCAACAGCAGCAGCCGCGCGGCAGAGCAAAGTGTATGCCTTCCTCCTCGCGCTCCTCCCCCTTCTTCTCCTCCTCCTCCTCCTCCTCCTCCTCCTCGTCACCTTCTCTCTCCCTCGTCCTTCTTCTCCTCCTGCTCTTCCTCCTCCTCCTCCTCCTCCTCCTCCTCCTCCTCCTCCCCCTCCTCTTCCTCCTCCTCCTCACCGTCATCAGCATCATCAGCATCATCATCAACATCATCATCATCATCATCAGCATCATCAGCATCACCACCATCATCATCACCATCAGTATCATCATCATCATCAGCATCAGCATCATCATTATCATTATCATCATGGTCATCGTCATCATCATCATCATCAGCACCAGCATCAGCATCATCAGCATCAGCATCAGCACGATAAACAGCACCATCATCAGCATCATCAGCGTCATCATCATTATCATCATCACCATCATCATCACCATCATCATTATCAGTATCATCATGATCATCGTCATTATCATCATCATCATCATCATCATCATCGTCATTAACATCAGCATCATCAGCATCATCATCATCAGCATCAGCATCAGCATCAGCACCATCAGCATCATCAGCATCAGCATCATCACCATCAGCATCATCAGCATCATAATCATCATCCTCATCCTCATCCTCATCCTCTTCCTCATCCCCATCCTGATCCTCATCCTCATCATCCTCATCATCCTCATCATCATCAGCATCATCGGCATCAGCAGCAGCATCATCATCAACATCATCATCTGCATCAGCATCAGCATCAGCACCATCAGCATCACCAGCATCAGCATCATCACCATCAGCATCATCAGCATCAGCATCATCATCACCATCATCACCACCATCATCACCACCATCATCATCACCATCATTATCATCATCATCATCATCATCATCATCATCATCATCATCATCATCATCATCATCATTATCATTATCAGTATCATCATGATCATCATCATCATCATCATCATCATCATCATCATCGTCATCATCATCAGCATCATCGGCATCAGCATCATCATCATCAGCATCATCAGCATCATTATCACCATCACCATCATCACCATCATCACCATCATCATCATCGTCGTCGTCATCATCGATGAGATTATCGTTAGCTCGGATAGGTTGGAAGATGACGAACTTCGTGACGTTGATCTCGGACTTCGATGAAGAAATCCAGCTGACGACGGTCTCGCCCGCGCTGCTCAAGAGTTTCCTCAGGGCCGCTGTGCTTCGACAGCTCGAACGCGAGCCCTGTTCTAAGCTTTGCCTGCCGTGCGATCGCTTGTGCTACGATATTGTTCGCAATCAACTCCGATCGAAACGGCATTCCTCTCTCGAGAAATAAAGTATTCGGAGTCTCACGTGCGACGCTCTCTGGACCAATAGCAGAGCGTTGCAAACCGGCTACCAGCTGGCCGATGATCGCTGTGCGATGTGTGGTCAGCTCGGAGACACGCCGTTCCATAGGCTCTGGTGCTGCCCATGTTTCGATTCGGTGCGATCGAAGTTGATCGACCAAGATATCATTGAAGCCGCTGCCGCCGCGGATCCGTCCGACCCCCTCACCGAGCTCCTCTTCTGCAAAGGCCTGTTTCCTCATCCTGGGGACGTTTTCCCGAGGCCTGCGGGCGAGGGCTCTGGGGCCCAGGCGGTCCAGGTCTGGCACGACACCCCCCCTGACGATGGCGATTTCAGCGGGCACAGTTTCGTGGATGGGTGCTGCTTTCGGCACCAAGTCTCCGAGCTCTCGAGGGCGGATTACGGTCTCGTTTTAGTTGACGACACGGGCACCGAACGGTGCACGATATACGCCCCTGTATATGCTCCTTTCATCCAAACTCCCCAATGTGGAGAGTTCGCGGCGCTCGCCAGAGCGGGGATTGAAGTCACGGGCCCGTCGTCGATTTATAGTGATTGCAAAAATGTAGTGGACCTAGCCCAAGCCCCGAGAGAGATGCAGTTTTCTTACAAGCGGCCCTACGCTGGCCTCATGATGTTATTTAATCTCGGAGTTCCTTATACCAGTTCAGTTTCAAAGGTGAAGGCTCACTCGGACCATCATGAGGAGGGCATTGAGCCACGCGAGAGATGGCGCCGTTTGGACAACCACGCTGCGGATTTGGCGTCGAAAGCGGGAGCGAACCTTCACCCTGCGGCCACGGAAGATGAGCAGTCGGCGCTTGTGTTCTGCATTAGGGTCGCCAAAGCGGTGTGCAAATTGGCGGCCAAGATTCTTCCTCAGTGGCCCCGCTTGGACCTCTCCAAGTGCCCTTGGGTGGCCCCTGTCAGTCCCAGCACGGCCTCGTCGGAGGCCGCCTTGCCGAAAGCCCTGCTCGAGAGCCAACACTGTTTCGTGCTCCAGCCGTCACATAACTATGTTTGCAGCCTGTCCATAGCATCTTAAACAAACAAGATATATTAGAGGCTTGCGCCTCCGCTTGCTCGGTCGGCCAGCCTGCGGATCCAGGGACCACGGACTCGGCCCTTGATGATTTTCGGTCTGTGGGGGGGGGTGAGGCTGGGCGGTAGACACCTTCACGAGTCTCATGTCCTCCGCTTCTGGCCGCGGCACTCGCTTTACTTTTGTGCGACGTGCGGCCGCACGGCTACGGTCGATCCGAGAAATTTAATTGATCGTTGCGAACCTGCCACTCGTAAAGGAGTCCAGAATCTCGCCAGGATCGGGAGGAATATCTTCCCAAGTTACAGAGGGCCCTCGGACGCGGCGAAAGACGCACAGGCGTCGCGTGTCCGAAGGAAATTCGCCACTGCACACACCTCGCCTGTCGGCGCCACGGTCGTCGCTACGCCGTCATCGTCGCCGCCGTTTCGGATGCATGTTTTTGTTTCAGAGCAGCAGAGGCATCCCGTGGAGGTGGAGACTCGTGCTGTTGCGATGTTGTCGAGTGTTTCGGAAGCGCTCCGCCACGAAGTGGACCATGCGCCGCTGCTGCCAGCCCCTCTCTCGCCTGCCGCGTCCGACTACTCCGATTGACTGCTGTTGCTAACCTCGCAAGGAGGTAAACCAGCGGCCGCAGCCCTTTTCAGGAGGCGCTCGCCCGCGGGAGCTGGCGTCCTGTGCCCCGTGGCGGGCATTCATCCCGAGGTCCTGTTGAAAAAAATCCCTCCTCCCTCCTCCCTCCCCCCTCCCCCCTCCCGCCCCCCCCCCCCGAAACACAGGCTCGCAGCGCCTCGGCCCAGCGGAGGTATTGCGCGGAGCTCGCTCAGCCCCGCGCGCCAGTGGAGAACCCCAGGCGCGCCTCGCGAGGGCGCCGCCGTCGTCGTCGTCGGTGTCGTCGTGGGCGTCGTCCTCGCCGCCGACGCTTCGCTGTCGTCGTCGCTGCCGCCGTCGCCGTCGCCCGTCGCCGTCTGTCGCCGTCGTGGCCGTTGCCGTTACCGTTGCCGTCGCCGTCGTCGTCGTCGTCGCCGTCGCCGTCGTCGTCGTCGTCGTCGTCGTCGTCGCCCAGCGCCCGGCGCCAGGCCCAAGGAGGATGCCTTCTGGCGCGACCGCCTCGCTGCTCGCGCGTCCGCGCTGGCGCGATCCCTGGGCGCGCGCGTTTCGACGGCGACGGTCGGCTAAACGTTTTCGGACGTTTTCGTCGGCTCCCAGAGGTTGTCCTGCCTCGGGATGTGTTCTGGCAGCTGCGCCTCGTCGAGAGCGTTCCCGGGGCTGCCCAAATCGTCCCGAACGGCCGCCGGAGATTTGAGTTATGACCCGGAAGCCGAGTGGCCCTTCGCCGGGATGGCGTTTGGTGGGCGGCTGGCGCGAAAAGCCTTCGGGGAGGGGGGGGAACTAATCACAAGCAACAAGCACGCGGGCCGCTGCTGGCCCATCGCGTGCAACGGCCAGCACGCTAGTCACCAAACGTCACTCTCTCCGAGGGGTCGCTCTTGCATAAAATGAACCAAGACAACGACGTTGAGGTTTCGAGGCGGGAACCTCCTCCTTCTGCTGCTGCCTCCTGCTCCTCCCTTCTCTTTTCTCCTCCTCCTCCTTCTCCTTCTCTTTCTCCGTAGCAGTTTTGGCTCAAACCATTTTGGCTCAAGGTTTTGTTGTTCGCGTTGAGCAAAGTGGATACCGCTAGTCCGCGGCAGTGCCAGGGCCTTATGCCCGACAGTGTTTCCATCACCTTCCAGTCTACATTGTTTTCGTCTGGTCCGCCCCAGGCTGGAACCCTTCCTTGTGCGAGGTCAGGCCTGTGAGCTCTGTGGAACAGTGGTGGACCTCATGGGCGGCAACAAACAGCACAACAATGTGCGCAACCACACCAAGTGCACGAATAAATGCGGCAACTGGGCGTGGAACTGGCGCCTCAAGCGTC